GTTGCAGTAATTGTGAATTTCCATGTGGTTGGTGACACTCCAGCTGCATATGTTGCCGTGTTGTTCTGTTCCAGCATGTGCTCGCACACTTTGTCTGGGGCATTAGGGTGTTAATGGATTACCGAAAGGTGTTGACTCAGGTATGTGTGTGTGAATGAGGGTGGTACAGGGCTCAAAGTGTGCTGGGATCTAGTTCAGACAACAGTCTCCACTCCCCATTAGTCTCTCATGCGCCCTCTGCCACTCTTCTGCGACCTGTTTCGTTTTTTCTCAGCCTTGCTTCATCCTTTCGCTGCCTCACCCCTGCACATTAGTTAGCAGTGTTTATCCAGTTTTCTCTTGCAATGTCTCCTCTCTGCGTCGCCTAACAGTCACCTACCCTCAACATGGATATTGGAGGACTGACCACAGTGGTAGCAAATTCTGCTTACATCAATGCCCGTGGAAGCATCGATGGCTCTAATGCTGCAGCGGCCCGGGATAAGAAGTACCATTCTCGCCTCAAACTGCCCCACATCACCGTGTGCGAGGGCCTGGTGGACACCCTGGATTTGACCTTTGACTCAATCTGCGTGGAACAGCCTCTTGGCAAACGCCTCTTTAGGGAATTCTTGAATTCAAATCAAGAGTATCATGGGGCTTGCCGTTTGTGGAAAGACATCGAGGACTACGACCTGGCGGAGGATTCTGACAGGGCAAAGAAGGCCTCAAAGATTGTCCAGCGTTACATGGACCCCTCTGCCAAACACTACTGCCCGTTCCTGTCTGAGGAAATCATAGCTAAGGTGAAGGAAAACCAGGAGGCTGTAGGGGATGATTTGTTTGCCACAGCATTGACCACAACGTTGGACTATCTGCGGGAGGCCCCTTACACTTTCTACCTGGAGAGCTTGTACCTAAAGAGGTTCCTGCAGTGGAAGTGGCTTGAGATGCAGCCCATGGATGCAGACTGGTTCCTAGACTTCCGTGTGCTGGGGAAAGGTGGGTTTGGGGAGGTGTCGGCCTGTCAGATGAAAGCCACAGGGAAACTTTATGCCTGTAAGAAACTCAACAAGAAGAGGCTGAAGAAGAGGAAAGGATATGAGGTGAGAGAACAAATGTCACTTTTGATAAGATGCTCCTTTACTCACTTTTACATTAGGCCAGCATAGTTTCTTTCTCAACAGCCCAAACATGTTGAACATGAATGCTCATTTAAGTTAATGAAATACATGCTGCAGGTTTTGGGCTTTTTATACTTTGAAATGCATTATATGCCTTTAGATGGTTAGAATATGAAATGTGGCCCTTATTGTGTTTCCTTGTTTCCTTGCATGAGTTTTAAAGGAAACTTTTTAAACTGATATTTTAGCATGTTGTGATTTGATTAATACAGGTGTTTTAGTGGCGTTATGGTCCAGAGAAAGTGCCCTGCACTGAGCAGGCTGCAGTGGTGCTAATCATCTTTGTCCCTGCCTCTGTCTCGTTTAGCTTTAGCCTGCAGTATTAAACACTGAGACAGGGATAGAGTGATTACTGGGAGCTTTAGTGAAAAGCTCTTCTGAATGGATCTCCTTGGCATAGTTATATCTTGCCCTTGACTTGTCTGAGGTCATTCTTTGAAATATACTTCAACATCTTTTCCAATCGGTGTGAACATGAAAACATACTGCATGTTTTTCTGCAACCCGTTGGAAGAAAAGTCCCTGCAGTTTTCTTTCTTTTAAAAAGGTCCCTTTTACATTATTTTTCAAAATTATCTTTCCTAACTTTCTCCTGTAGGGTGCGATGGTGGAGAAGAGGATTCTTGAGAAGGTTCACAGTCGCTTCATTGTGTCATTGGCGTACGCCTTCCAGACAAAGGACGAACTTTGTCTGGTCATGACCATCATGAATGGAGGAGACCTCAAGTAACTTCACATTCTGAAAAACTCTCAGATAAACTTATTGATAGAACAGTGGTTGCACTTATTCGTTGTCCTCTTTCCTCTATGCTGTTGTCTTTTTGGCAGCCTTCATAATTTGGCAGGTCCTCTGTTTCTGCTGTAACTTCATGTCAGAGGGATGTTGAAATATTCCCCAAAGTTAGCTGTGATACCCTCCGGAAATATATTTAACAATCAGGCAAATGTGCCACCGAGTGGTAGCTCCAAATTACAGAGTCATCACATTGGGATGGATTAAATGTAATGTCTGTCAATGCGCATGTCTGTAGACAGGCACATGGGTGCAGTTACACACGTGTGGTGGAGACAGCACGAGAATTAGTTACAGTATCTTAATACCATTCAGAGAGTCAGTTGTTGAAGATACACTGGACTGCAGGCTTCATGCAAACGTTTATTCTCGGCAGGCATGGGGCCAGAAATTCATTTTGATGATGAGAATATCCCAGAGTGGTTCTTTATAAAGCAGCAGTCACTTTAAGCTACATTATCAAAAAATACTGAACCCGTATAAGTGAGATTATTTGATTTTTTTTTTTTTTTTTTTTAAAACTGCTTTATAATCAAATTTTAATTTATGCACACTGTAGTTTGAAAACCGAGAGCATAATGACAGCTAACATGCAAAATGAGCAAAGCTCATGCAACATATTGGCAAGCTGTATATAAAACTGCAAATGAATGTAGATTACATACCTTTTGTACATGACAGAGTCAAAGCTCACCTGTTCCGTCTTCCCTGAAGGTACCACATCTACCTGGTGGATGAGAACAACCCAGGCTTTGAGGAGCCCAGAGCCTGTTTTTACATTGCTCAGATTATCCAGGGCTTGGAGCACCTCCACCAGAAAAGAATTATCTACAGAGATCTCAAACCAGAGAATGTGCTACTAGATAATGATGGTAATAATTTCTAGTCAAACACAGAGAAATTTGCCCTCATCTAAGTGCGATTAATGGCTGACGAAGATGTCTGTCTGATGTTGAACAGGAAATGTGCGTATATCTGACCTGGGTCTTGCTGTGGAGCTAAAAGAAGGAAAAACACTGACCAAAGGATATGCTGGGACACCAGGTGGGTCTCATCCGCAGCTACCAAACAATGAATAAGCAATGTCATATTATTATTATATAGGTGTAATCTTACTGTTGAATCACTTTTTTTTTTAACCATCGTTTTCACTTTGGTTCTTGCAGGGTACATGGCTCCGGAGATGCTGAAAGGAGAAAAATATGACAGCTCGGTTGACTATTTCACTCTGGGGGTGACACTGTTTGAGTTCATGGAGGCTAAGAACCCATTCAGAAACAGGGGGGAGAAAGTTAGTCACTTTTTTATTGAACCATGAGATTTATTTACCTTGTGCACAAAAATGGCCGACTGCGATGTAAATGAGAGGATGAGAGGTTTAATCTGTCTGCTCTTCAGGTTGAACGAGAGGAGATGAAAGAGCGCATGCTGACGCGGGTGGTGACCTATTCAGACAATTTCAGTGAGCACGCAAAGTCGCTCTGTGATGGGCTGCTGGCCAAAGAGGTTGATCAGAGGATGGGTTTTAAGAACGGATGCTGTGATGAAATCAGAGCGCACCCATTTTTCAGTGACATCAACTGGAGGAAACTGAATGCAGGTACTATCTATTTCCTTTACTTTCTTGTCTTGTTCAGGCGTAAAATATTTGTTTTAACAAAATAAATCCATTTCCAATTTCTTCAAACCCTGGAAATGTTTTCCTTCCTCCGACAGTTTGATGTTATTTTTAACTTCCATGTCTCACCTCTTCAGGTATCCTACCTCCTCCTTTTGTCCCTGACCCTAAAAGGGTGTATGCTAAAAGTCTGGATGACGTTGGAGCTTTCTCATCAGTGAAGGGCGTAACCTTGGAGGATCCCGATAAGACCTTTTTTGATGAGTTTTCCTCTGGCAACATTCCCATCCCTTGGCAAGAGGAGATGATCGAGCTGGGTATTTATGGAGAACTCAACGTTTGGGGTCCTGAAGGCAGCATCCCAAACGACCTCCGCAGGGAGTCTATACTAGAGCAGCCAGCCAAGTCATCAACCTGCTGCATATCGTAGAGTCACAGAAACACAGCAGTTATACAGTGTACAGACTCAAATACTCAGGACAGACACAAGTCTCTTCTGAACTTTCCGATTGCAGAATTACAACAGTTTGCGACTCTAAACTTTCATTGATGGGCACAGGAGACAGCAAGAACAGAACAGAGGTGGATTTCCAATCTGGAATGGACTTAACCATTGACTTAGTATTGAAAAGTGAAAATTCTTGACATTATATCCTCACTGGTCCCTACCGTCCGTCCCTCACACTCTCTCTTAATGTGTGCATTTGCTACATTATTATAAAGCTTTTAGTTTTAAAATGCATTTTTAAAATCAAATTTTTGAGCAGGGATGTAGTTATGTGGTACCTTTGGTGCTAAGTGACAGTCACATGTTGAACATGTAAGATCTTTTATTTCCCTCTATTGCATACGTGCTCCTGTAGGTGCTTTTATTTTCTTAGTTTTTACTCATTAACAGCTATAGAAAACTGATTACCAAAAGCTATGGCACCAGAAATGCAAAGTTTGATGCTTCTGGAGCACATTTTCTGTGTTTGTTTCATGGTTAATAAGTGACTCTTTGCACTAAACAGCAGAGCACCTTTGATAAAGGTTTATGTAGATTAGTTATCAAGAGACAAATTTGAATATAGGAGAAATGTTTACAGTAAATCAATTTATTTTTAAAAACATATTGTTGAACAAAAGTTGAATAAAGTCAGAAATAAATGTATGATAAAGTACTGGCAAATAAAATAGCTTATTAAAGTGGAAATTTGAGTGAGAAACTTCATTTCTGCTTTCTGCGTGACAACAATTATTAGCACTGTCCAGGAATGTCGTGTAAACACAGATCAAGACCAGACTTTCTCTATAATGATTTGAATTGGTGAGAGGACAAGGAATTTCTTGTTTTCTTGAATGCTAAATGTCTCTTCTCTCACATCTTCAAAACCTTAAATTTTTCCAAACCCCCCCAATCCCCTCCCCTCCTGAAGCTCCTCTGTCACTCCTTTGCTGTGGCCTCGTATATCCTCACGTCCTGCTGGGGGAGCTCAGTGAGCAGCGTGGTGTTAAAGCTGCTCTTAAAGCGCTCTGTGAACTTCACGTCTGACTGGAACCGGATCTTGTTGGCCCACAGCAGCGTCGTTTGACTTCCTGGTCGGCAAAAGTGACGCATGGTTTCCAGCAGTTCCTCGAGACAGTCGTGGTGATAGACTACATCAGCTGCGAGCACGTAGTCGTAGTGGTAGGACGGGTAGGGAAAGTCTCGCTCCAGCTCCTGACCCCAGGATAGGGCGGCCACCTGAGGGGTGTAGCGGGAGCGGCCCTTGGTGTTTCGCAGAAGGTTAAAGGTCAGATTAGACAAGATGTCTGGCAGGTCAGTAGCTGTCACCCAAGCCCCTGGAAAAGAGTACAGAAAAACAAAGCAGCTGAAGTACAGGTAGGAAGACCCATAGACAGAAACTGTGAAAGGACTACACCAACTTTTTTTGTGACTGTCGTCCTCGACATGTCATGTTCCTGCATTATGATCAACATGGGCACAGTAATTTTTATTTAATTATTTTCACTAACACCTTCCTGCTGCTGTAAATACTCGTTAGCCAACAAAATGTGTATTAATCCGCACCTGAAAATAGTCCCCAACAAATGCATTGTTTGCTCCTGTTTAAGTAATGTTTGCTAAAAGCTACAGTGCTCAGCTGTTTTAGGAAAATACTTAGCCTTTTTTTACTTTTAGAAATTACACAATATATTAGTTAAACTAAATGTGTAATTTATATACAGTATATTATAATACAGTATTTTAATAAATTACAGGGGGAGGGCAAAAAAATTAAGAAAACATGACCATTTAACAGCTATAAAGCTGCTTGATTTTAGGATTTGTTTAACAGATTCATGCTGTATTTTGTAATCATTTGTTTTTTGCTTTTCAGAAGTGTTGAATCATACAGACCATACAAAAAATGAAAACATAACAAGTGTGGGTTACTAAAAAGTTTGCTGCCTCAAGTGTGGACTCATGTCATGAATTTGATGCTAAAAAATTTCCACCAGTTCGACCTTGATCATATCACGAATAATGCATGACCTCACTTGGACCTTGAAACCCTCGGCAGGACCGGCCGCATATTTATAGACAGAGAAGACATTCAGTGTTTAAAGTCTAGGTCTGTTTGGAGGGTCAGTATTGGTTATGTTGAAGTGCTTGTGAATTAATGGTGGTAAACCATGAGACTTCCTTAAATTGTCTGTTGATAGATTTATGTGATGGGAAATAATTGAAAACGCATGTTTCTACTGCATGCATAATACAGGGGCCAAAGGATGACAGTACCAGTCCAATGATCACTGTGTTCATCCAGATATCTTTACAGTTTCTTTACAGTTAATGGCCTGTTTGCAATGCAAGAATTTTGGCGTGGGTGGATTGTCGTGGTCTTCAGACAATGAATCCCAGTTGTTTTAGTGACCCCATGATGTTTCCTCGACTCCCACCACCAGGCCGTAATGTTACTTTTGCACAAAAGATGAACAGATATCTTTATATTTATGCACCAGAGGAAATAAACTCTTTATGGCTTTTCCCTCTAGCATCACAATCAAAAAAGTACCACAATATGTCCTAAAGAAGAAATAGAAAAAAGCATCTTCAATAAAAAATGTCATGATTTATACCAATCTGATTATCAAATTGATATAATTAACTATAATTGTTGGCATTTGAAATGTTGAACAATGTGATAGTTTCATACATACACTACATACTGTGTAAACTGCAAATGGGCTTCATAGACTTACCGAGCAGACTTGCCACTATGGAGAGTAAACCGGTCCCAGCTCCAATCTCCAGCACGGCTTTGTCCATCAGCTTCACTTGCTGCTGGTTATTCTCCAAAAACTGGCACAAAGCTACGGCCTGCAGAACAAAGTGTCATTGTTACATCAGTAACAACCAAGTCAGCGGATGACGATGATGATGTACAATAACACGGCATCATGGCAGGGCGTACCCCAGGCCAGATCAGAGCACCATAACTATCTATGGACTCGCGGATGCTGATGTTATGACCAGCAAAATAAAAAGACTCCTTTCCCAGCGCGTAGTAAACACTCGGCTCCCAGATGTTCCTCCGGTCCAAAGCCTCCCCGGCCATCACGTTTTGGTCTGTTAGTGCTGTAAAGCAGGAAGAAGTAGGTTACAGTTCTGCAGACCTACCTTGAAAATCTACTTTTGAAATGATTCATCTGTTCAATCCAAATTTACCTTCATCTGTGGTTTCCTGCTTCACCTGTAGTTTCCCATCCTGGGTCTTGTCATTCGCCTCCTTCTGTTTTCCAGGATTCTCCTGTTGGACTGATCGGCTGACTTTGGACGATCTCTCCATGAGCTCTGAACGCTGTTGAAAAGAGGTTTTGATAAACTATTTGTTGTGGCGTGAGTGCCACTACGGTGTAGCTACATTTCATGCTTTGGACTATGTTTAAGAGACCTTCGGTTCTTCAGACACGCCTCAGATCAGCTTGTCGTCACAGTGCATTGTTTTTAGCCATACCAGCGGCATTGATTCTAGGAATGGCGATGTCTGTCACTCCATCACTTTGGCCCTAAAATATCTCAACATCTCTTTGATGGATTGCCATGGATTTTTGTGCAGACATTCATGATCCCCAGAGGATGAACCCTAACGATTTTGGTAATCCCCTGACTATTCCTCTAGCGCCACCAGGAGGTCAAACATTTCACTTACCTTGTGAAATATCTCAACACCTACTGGATGGATTGGCACAACATTTTGTACAGACATCCTCTATATATTTCCTACATATCATCTCCTTTGTTGGGAAAATCTTATTGCAATTCACAATACCTCTCTAATATACCCAATTCTTACCTCCCCCATTTAACACATTCATATTTCAGAAAAATGTTGAAGACAGATTAACTATGGGTTAGAAAGGAGGAAAACACCCTTTAGCCAGACAGCCTTTACAATAAGAGCTTTCCATCTCTGGAACATCCTTCCATTTTTCCATTGCACGTAATCTTAAACCGGAGCAGCTTTCTGTTTGTGTTTCCTATTGTTTCTCCTCTGGTTTAACCTTTGTCGTCTGTAATGAAAGGTGATTTGTCTGACCAGATGAATCATCCTACTGACTTTGGTGATTCTCTGTCTTCTGCTCTAGTGCCACCATGAGGTTGACATTTGTGGTTTGGGGTGAAATATCTCAACACATCATCTTGGACTTTTCATTTTGTGCCACCAAACACCTGCAAAACTATGGACATTCCCATCTGCCTCAGCAGAACTTGTTTAGTGCTAATTAGCAAATGTTAGCATGCTATAACATGATAAATACATCTAGAAGATGTATCTTACATCTTACAAGATGGTGAACATGGCGAGCATTGTCAGTGTGAACATTCAAAAACATTTGGCTCTAAACACCTAGCTCTCTAAAATGATCAGTTTATTTTAAAATTGATTTTACACCCATACAATATATTTGACAAGTACAAATCTGTGTTGAAATAATCTGTGTTTCATATTGAAATTGCGTTTCCTGGAATTTCATGTCAGCATGTCTTCACAGCTCTTCCAGTAGTTCGATTTTCATAAACATTTGGCCTGTTGCAGATTCTTTAGCGACGACCTGTGTTTATTTTTAGTGTGTTTTGTTTTTGTTGTGACCTATTTGAAGTTCAGTAAAAGTTGGAATGGATTCTGAACGGACTCGATTTAGTTCACTAGTCTCCTTGGCTGTCAGTGCACTGCTGCCTGGAGCCCAGAAACACAGCTGGTTAAACCCTGAGGTCGACAAGCTACATACAGGGATGCAGAGGATACATTGGGCTGCTCTTTATCTAAGATGCACATCACATTCAGCTCGACTTCCATGCAAATATGAAGGAGACAGTTTGACATGATTCAAAAAAACAGTCACGTGAAATCTGTGAATTTGATCAATGCAGTCATTCAATCATTTTGATCTTTTTTTCTTCTTCTTTTTCTTATTTACCGAGAAGGTCAAAAACCAAAAAAAAAAAAAAAGTCTTTAAATATGTTGCTCATGCGAATGTGTGAAACCTACCTGTCTGAATCTGTGGCCTCTTATCTCTCTTTTCTTGTTGCGTGTGCACTTCTCTCCGCTGTGTTCTTGTGTTTATAGAAGCAGCATCATCTATGACACACCCCTGAGCGAGGCGGTGGTCTCAGGGGTCTCTGACAGCCAGATCTGAGAGACAGAAGCGAACAGACAAACAGATTTATAACGTCTGACAGAGACAGATGCATAAACCGGACCCCTCCAAGCACTCTAATGTCAAATCTTGTTGTCAGTTGTGTGTATTCTTTGCATCTTCCAGCATTTTGTTTACTCTGAAGATTTTTCACAACATCTGTGAGAAGCTTCTTATTATTCCCTCCTTTCATCCTTAATGAACCCGACATCTGGCTGCAGGAGTTCCAGGTAGGGACATGCAAACATTTGACAACAAAATGTATTCACACTGTGCACTGCGCCAGAATATTAGCATATTTATGTTTGTCCTGGGAGGGTTCTGGGCAGATCTGCATGAGGCCTGTCATGGACGTGTGAGACGGATGTGTGCCACCTGGCATGCTCCCCGGAAAATAGTGTTAATTTCTAATGCAGTGGAGTGGAGTAAACTGTTTACCAGGGCCTGACCTGTAGCAAACACTTCCACCATTTATACCTTTATCAAGCATTTATCTTCCACCCTCTTCATCCCCCTGACATGTGTCATCTATTATCCCACGTTATCCCCCCCCCCCCCCCCCTTGTACCTACTATGTTGTACATAAACACACTGTACTCAAGTCTGTCAGTCAACGACAGAATAAAACGTTCAGATGGACAACAAATACAGCAACACAGAGGTGAGCAGCAGCGGTTTAAACCCCAGTGAGAAACTGTGTCAACTTTAGAAAAGCCAGGGAATCATCATGGGAAAACTGGAACACTATTTTATGGGGCTCTGTGAACATGTTCAGGGTGGTGGGAGGGGCAGAACCTCCAAAACCTCTCCCCACAATATATCAGTGATAATATTATCAGTGCTAAACAGGGAAAACTTCTTTAATTGCATACCGGATTTCAGCATTACTATTTTATTTGGGATTTATGCCTTTGTTGAATAGCAACAGGAGAGGTGATAAGAAATGAAGGGAATAAATGCTTGCAATGTTTTATTAATGACACATTGTTACCAATGATCCCCCTGATCATTTTCACAATGTCCCTTAGTGTGACGAGAGACAAACAACAACATATGCCAACCCATTGGATCAGTATGTCAAAATTTGTACATCGAGGTGGATTTTACAGCTTAGACAGGTTTTATGAGTCCGTAAATTCATTTTCAAACATTTCAGGAAATGAGTGGAAGCTGATACTTAAAATGAAAACAAACATATATTTAAAAGAATGTTTATAGAATACATTCACAAATGGTCCAAAATACAAGATTTGTTGCAAACACACTGGTACTGCACCGAGCTGAAGGGATTTCTTCATAAAATTTGGATCTCGCACATTTGAGAAATTTTCTTTAGAGCATTTCAAACATTGTCATTTGTCCATACGACACTGCCGTGCTCACGGCCATAAACAGCACAGATGAATGAAGTAAACAGATTAGTGCTGGCATGTAGGTGTACTATAAAAGGCTGTGGTGTAAACAATTGTTAAGAGTCGGTTTTTTAGCCACCAGCAGAGTCCAGCCTTTAATGCAAACAACACAGCAGATTGTGGATACAGGGTAACAAGTGTTTGTAAGCTGGGCTGTAGGGCTTTAGGTGGGAGGATTCACAGCCTCAGTACACACACACACACACACACACACACACACACACACACACACACACACACACACACACACACACACACACACACACAGAGAGATCCCAGCAAACAACTGGTTGTACTGCATGAACCTAGAAAATGACTTGAAGTGACAGATGCAAGCAGCAACACTGAGTCACCCTCATCTAAACAGCAACACTAATAATCACTCAGTATGTAGAGTCAGAGTATTAGGGTATTTCCACTGCTCTGTTTCAGTTGTTAATAATGACTGATGAATGAGGTTTTGCATAGACTGTCTAGTTTTGCCAAAAATTATTCCAGTTTTTTTCTTTTTTTCTTACATTATTCATCAGTTTTGATGCGTGTACGCGTCTGGTGATGATGACTAACCAGATCGGATTATGCACAGAGTCTAAAAATATGATTTTGTAATGTACTCCGCAAAGCTGTTGGATATATCTCTCCAGTAAGAGATTGGAGATGCACATTCAACTGTGATCTCTTAAATCCAACAAAAGTCACTTTTCATGGTAGAGGAACAATGGAGAATCTGCATGTGCCACATGTGTCAAAGATTATATTTCTGTAAAAAAAAAAAAAAAAAGGTTTACACTGGGCTGTTGGTCACATCAATTAATGAGTTTGTGTGTGTTGGTGGTGGATGTATGTATATGTGGAACAGTTAGCAATTAAAATAGAAGGATAAAGAGCTGCCAGTCATCACCTTACAGTTGGTAATCCTCACCTCCACATCCAAAGGTCAGGAAAAGGTTGTGTAGGCCAGTGGAAAATGAGTCACAGTCACACACAGCAACATGTGAGCCCGGGCAGGCTTTACAGTAGCCGCATGTGCAGCATGAGTGTGTGAATACATCAGTTAGTGGGTGATAAGCTCCTGTAATTTTAAAGTGTAGGATTGGATTGGTGTTCGATGGGTCTAGATGGCATAGAACATAAACATACAGTGTGTATCCAGCCAGCAATGTTGCAGACAGTGAACCTGAAATCGAAAATCTGAGTGTGGACAGCTTTTGCTGCCATGACAGCTTTTTGGCATCAGAACAGATCTGTCTCTTGGACACAGAGACTGTTTCCTGATCCTGTAATATAAACCAGAATTCCTGGACTCCATGGGTTTAGTGAGGATGTCGTGTCTGGGTCCTGGATGGGCTGGAGGTTTAGATACACCTGTCAGACTGATGGTTGTATCACTGTTTCCTGATAAACACTCCTCATCACCTAAACCTCAACAAGGCTCCACGCTGAGAGAGAAAGTAAAGCTTGAATTTATACACATGACATTATCAGGTGTGTTATAATGTGTGTATGGTGGGCTGAATGTATTTGAATGTACTCAAAAGTTTGCCATAATGTCTGCAGGTATACATTTAATTTAGCTTTTTTTCTTTAAAAAAAAAAAAAAACAATATACAGGAGTAATAATCACAACAAGCGCATGAATAAAATATCAGGTTTTCTTTTTTACCAATGAGTGTAATGTACAACATACTTAGAGGCCCTCTGATTTGATAGTAGTATTCCATAAATTGTGTTATGTTCCTTTAAGTTATTGTATGGTGTCAGTCCCTTTGCTTTACAAGATATGATTTTAAACTAAAAGAAAAAGCAACAATCTCTTCTTCACATCAGACAAAGAAGCAGAAGGAGGCGAGAGCTTGCTGTACGTTCACTAGACAGGGTGGGAGCAGATGAAAGTCAGAGGTTCCCAGCATGTGAAGTCATTGAATTTTCCATTTGCTGAAAGACAGACAAACCGATCAGAGAGTCGTTGGCAACAATGTTCAATAGTCATGTCTGGTAAAACATTAAAGGAAAAAGAATGATCTGTGTGCCCTCGGGTCACTTTACATGTAAACATTCTTCCTGTATTTATATGTATAAATAGTGAAACAATATTTTTCATGACCTTTAACTGTGCTATATTTTGATTGATAATTATTTGCAAATTTTTATTGGTGCCCATGTGCCTCATTTCAAGTCAGATTTAGATCTGAGTTTGTGCTGAAATGACACCAGTGTAAGGACAGTTTAAAAGTGCTTAAGAAACATGAATGCTTAGAAAGTTGGCGAAAGAAAACCAAACTGAAGCTCTGCAGAGGGATAACAACAAACTGACACCTACCAAATACCAGCAATTCCAGACAGTTCTCCACATCTTCTGTGTTATTGGGCTCCCCTGACAGCCAATCAGCATAGCCCCAGTGGGATCCATCCAACCAGATAAAGCGACCGGTCTGACAGAGATTAATGAGGTGCAATCAGACAGAGGAGTCATTTATTCTATTCATTCTCCAGATAAAAACACAACCATGAAACGAACCACTCTCACTGTGTGATTAATGAATGGTAAAATGATTATTTTGTATTTTCAGCAACAGATTTGACCACCCACTCCTGGGCTGAACATACTCACCTTCAAATATCGGATTCCTCCAATCCAGGTACGTGCGAGTCTCCTGTTTTGTGGCGGAATCATGTTCATCACTTCTCGGTGGATCTGTGAGCTTGTGATGGAGGCCAGGTGGCCACCAGGGAACTGTGACTGGCAGAAGAACTGAAAGGAATTATTGAGACAGTGACAGCGGGATTAGGCATATTATCAAGTGTGTGTCTGTCCTAAAGAAAACTCACTTTTTAAATAGTTTCTGAATCATCTTTCCAGATTGTGGAGAATGTGTAAATACCTCAGCATCTTCAGCCGTCTTTGGTCCTTCGAAGAACTGATAACGCTTCCCCTCAATTGTCACACTGGAAGAATAGCTCTGCCCTGTGGCAAGAAGGTGAAATTACAACATTTTCAATCATGCTGCTCATGAAAGGATAGACTCGCACCGTTTAAGTCTATTTCAAAACAAAACTAAGCATGCGCACATGAACTCAGAGACAGTTTCTTGTCCATATGAGGAGATCCCCTTGTAACACAATTCAAATGCAAGTGATGGGGTCAAAATCCATAATCCTCCTTCTGTGTAAAAATGCTTTTGTTAGTTCCTTCTTAATTTCATCAGAAACAATCTCAGTTTGACGAAATCAATTGATCAATCAATTTACAATATTTTTAGCACCAAATTTCCACTTTCTGTTACTCTGCCTCCACTGCTGCTCAGCGAGGAAACGTGGTTCAGAGAGAATTTGGTCCAGCTGAATATTAGAAGTTATTTTTATGTATAAAACACGAGAGCTCCAGACGTGAAGAGGGGGCGGGGCATCATGATCAAAAACACGATTCTGGGATTCAGTTTGCTTTGTCTGCTATATGACCCAAGGCGTTGATATATTGGATGTTTTCTTTTTGTTTTGTTTTACTTATCTGTATAGATTTCGCCTTTTCTTTAGCCTTTCTTCATATATGTCCTTATTTCAAAACTAAATAAATAATTTTTCTCCAAAAGAAGCAATTTTTACACAACTCTTTCTCTGGAATTGTGTTAGAAAGGGATCATTTACATATGAGCATGCGGGTGTTGTATTAAGAATTTTAAAATATGTGAACCTTTCGTTTAAAGTAAAGCCAGTTACACTATGTGTACACACCTGTGCATAATATTTCATTTACATGTTCCTTTGCTTGTCTTGTTTTAGTGATAATCTTCTCTCTACAGGGTTTTTACCTCCTTCTCTCATGAAAGCGTTCTCTTCTCTTTCAGGCACCACACCAGTCTGAGCGCCATCAAAAGAAGGACCGTCTCTCTCCAGGACTAACTCACTCAATGGTCCGTTCATCATTGAATAATCTGACCTCTCCGCTGTGCGAGAGTTTTGCTCCATCCCAATCTTGGCCTCTTCATTGGGGAATAAGTCTGAAGTTGAAATCTGCTGCCCCATAATGTCCAATGCTGGCCCTTCTTCCATGATAGCACCATCTGGTATGACCTCTTGATTTTGAAATGGCTCTTCCCCCATCTCAGGCTGCAGCTGCATAATTGGTTCTTCATCTGAAGCATAGTCCGTCCTCCTTATGTGCCCCTCCTCATCTGGCAGAGTTTCAGCGACAGGATCTTGACTGTTAAATGCTGCTATCAAAGACTTCTCCACCTCCGACAGCTCCGCATCGCTCCCTTCCTCTCCAAACAAGTTGTTGTCATCCAGCGGCTCCAACTCCATCGGCTCATCCACCGTTTCATATTGTCTCTCCATGTCAATGTGCCTCTCCTCATCCTGGTTCTCCTCAGGTTCCAACTCCATTTGAACATCTGGCACCACCTTAACCTCCGATTCCACCTTAAAGTCTGGGTCGACTTTGAATTCTGGCTCCATCTCAAGTTCTGCTATCAAGTTAGCCTCTGGTTCAGCCATAACATCTGGATTCAGATTTACTTCTGGCTCTGGCTCCACCTGAACTTGTGGCTCTGGTTTAACCTCTGGCTCTGCTTTCAGCTCCTGCTCCACCTGAACTTCTGGCTCCACCTTAACCTCTGGCTCTGCTTTCAGCTCCTGCTCCACCTTAACTTCTGGCTCCACCTTAACCTCTGGCTCTGCTTTCAGCTCCTGCTCCACCTGAACCTCTGGCTCCACCTTAACCTCTGGCTCTGCTTTCAGCTCCTGCTCCACCTTAACTTCTGGCTCCACCTTAACTTCTGGCTCTGCTTTAACCTCTTGCTCCACCTTAACTTCTGGCTCTGCTTTAACCTCTTGCTTCACCACACTCTGGCTCTGGCTCTGGCTCTCGTCCATGTCCTGTCTGGGCTGTGGTGCAGGATCCTCCACCTCCACATGACCCTGTACAGGAACCAGATCTCCCAGCAGAGGGCTCTCGTCTTCTTTAACCAAATCAAGATTTTGTGCCACACCAGGAGGAAATGGGGGCATCGACAGAGCCACTGCAAAAAGTAAATAAGAACAATTACAAACACAAAACACACACACAAAACAACTACAGACAGCATGTCTGTGTTGTGTACCTCTTCTTTTTAATCTTGCATCTCTTTGTAGTTGTTTTGGCGTCTTTGTGGGTGTGCTGTGTCTCTTCTGATTGATTTCAATTTTGATTTGAATTTGATTTGTCTTCGCGATCATGTCGCTTTTTGGTAATTTTGCATCTTTTTGTGGTTGTTTTGTACCTCTGTGTCTCTATAGTTATTTTGTGTGTCTTTGTAGTCATGTGGTATCTTTTTGTAGTCGTTTAGCATCACTTTGATTGACTTTCCAGTAAGAAATATTAACAGTCACTTCTCTGCCCCCCCCCCCGCGCCCAGTAGGCCTGTTCAGTAATCCATCCATGCCTACACGTTTCATAATGCAGATACAACTAGGATCTTGTTCAAATTCAACATGAATATGAATCTGTGTGAGGATCAAAGTGTTATCAATCACAAACATCATTTCATTTCACAGATTTATGCATCGTGTTCATTAATTCATATTGAACCTTTATGCATCTACTTTTACTTTTGAGGACAACTTCAAAGAACAGAATATGATTGGCTCACATCTTTCAATGATTTTTAATTTTACTTATACTTGTATTGATCCCAGAGAACCTACTCAGTGAAAAGAGAGGCAGAAATCAGTCTTTGGAGAACACACTCCTGAAAACAAAGTGAAATCTCTTACCTGCAAGGCTCAGTGAGAGGAATACCAGTGTCCTCATCTTGACCTGTATGATCAAATCTGAATGATATTCATAGAACTGTAGATTGTGATTTACTGTCAAATGTGTCTTGTACAAGTGAGTAATTCCCACCTGTTCATGTGCCTTTATACTCTTTACCTTTACTCCTAATCTTTATGAGCAGCATTAAGTCCAGCCCCTTTTTTTTTAATCTTTTCTCTTTCAGTAAGTTATAAATCAGAGCCTTCCTGTTACCGTATCTTGTCAGAAGTCCATTTTTTCTTCTCTTTTGTTTCTTGTTGGCATAAACCCAGTCGTAATCAAGAAGGTAGAAAGTTCACATTGTCAAGGCTTTTCCATACAAGTACACAACTGGGAAACCAGACTTGATACAGACTTGTTCCCCTCGGTAGATGAGTACAGTAATTCACAGTAAATCTCAGTGGAGAGATATAACAGTTAACCAGTAAACTATTTTAATGTTCATTTGTTTCATGCGCTTGTTATAGATGAGAGTATAGATCATGCTTATTAATTATTGAATTTAAATTTAATCAGTAAGCGGGTTTGTTGGAGAACAAAGACTCTAACGGGCAACTAATGTAAAAACAACAAAGGTTATGAATGAAAAACGTAAACAATGTTTACTTTCAACAAAAAATTGTCAAAGGTCAACAAGGTGAAGCCACAGACAGATACCTTTAAAGAAAAAAAAAAGAAAAAGTTTTATTACTGAAATTGCTGATGTAATTATCTCAAAGGACCCTGTTGATGCCAAAGAATGATAAAAATTATTTGCTTGGAACCATAAATGGTGCCACAAAATGCTGCTGCGATTAGAAAGGCAAAGGTTCACAACGTGGCAAGGAGGAAATGGATCTGCTCAAAAAAAAAGTTCACTGTGACACTCAAACCATAAACCATCAGACTGAATATTTATTCAGCTCAGCCTCAGATTTTGAGCTTGTAAAGGGATGTTCACAAACACCAAAGTTTGTTTTTAATGCATTTATTTCAGATGTGGGAAGAGAGAAAAAGTTGAACTGGGGATGCTGTGGTTCTGCAGTACTACATCTAAGACCACAGTGACCCCATGGGGAATTTGAGTGGGCTAGCATGGGTGACTATGTTACTGTCACTACATGCATGTGCTACAAAACAGAACTGACATCAATAAGATTAACACTTAAAATCAGTTTCAGTTTCAATTCAAGCTGGTAACTCTGCCTAGTTCTCAGATGAGATGAGGTGTAAAGAATTTAATAATGACATTTTCACATAGTGGGGCCATTGGGGGGGACTCCTTTCCTTAAACCTTAAAAACCTCCATTAAAACTTTATTTTTTTTTTTATTTAGAAGGCACTTGTTCATTTTGCTATTTAATGAAATTTTTGAAAATTAATCTTGTAATTTAAAGTCACTCAAAGGGAAACTCCACTGAGACTCTGACGGTGAGTTTAAAAGCTTTAGAATTAGATCCTGTTCATCTTTAAGTTAGGCTTAAAGTATTTTTGCAACAGAATCAACAAATGAGTTTAATCCTGCCATAATCCTTGTTGGCACAAACCACTCACAGCATTTTGTTTTGAGGTTTGTGCAGTAAAGTTTAAAATGATGTTTGGACTGACACTGCTGTCATCAAAGATCACAGTGCATTTAAAGTTGCCCCTTACTTCAATATCTGAGAGAGTTTGTTTATGTAAAACATGTTTGTGAGCAATGATCTGTGTTGTTATGGATGTGTGTGTTACATGACATCAGTGCGTATCGCTCACAGCGCAGCAGCTGGGATTGTTGACTGTGAACAGGTGCTGCAGCTGAGATTTTGTGAGCTAGTATTTCACTCATATTCTCCGTGTGTTTATGCACACGTGCCTGCGTGCATGGCCCCTGTGTGGGTCTTTGTGTGTGCATATGGCCACAGATGTAAGCATGTGTGCACACTGACCACAGTGAGCGACAATGTGCTGTTGTGTGGTGGGAAACCTGATAGCCAAGGACACAGTAGCTCAGCCAGCAGCTGTTTCATCTCTGCACCTCCTATTACACTCATCAATGGTGACATGTGGAAAACTCACAGCTTCACTAACCACAGTCTGCTTCATCGTTTCACCTCCAACTCAGTGGAGGATTAAATTAGTAAAGAAAATAATTTCAGAAAAATGTATCAATAAAGGAAAAACAGATTAGAGATTCAGATTAGAGTGAGGCCTTCACAGTGAACCCTGCTGGATGTCAGTGAACCCTGCTGGATGTTTTATGCAGCAAAAAGCTGCCATATATTACAGGTTTAATGTTCATATTGCCAACGTGATTATTTACCACCAAGCATGAATCAAACATCTGATTCATGTCCATATTCCATATCCAACATCTGGTTCTTTTAGGCTCTTTGTGGTGCCTGTAGATACCAGCACAGTTTTAAGAATGTCAAACTGTGGCTCATGGTAAACCTGGAACTGCATAGATTTATGTTGTATGTAATCTCATAACATCTTTCTTTCTTTCTCTTTCTTTCTTTCTTTCTTTCTTTCTTTCTTTCTTTCTTTCTGTCTTTCTTTCTTTCTTTCTTTCTTTCTTTCTGTTTGACCAGGTAAGATTTTAGTGATGACAACTGTAGTTATTGTGTTGATTTGATGCAGTCCTGGAGGATCTTTTACTTAAGTAAAAGTAGCAACACAGTGTAAAAATACTCAGAAGTCCTGCATTGAACACTTTACTTCCAACAACTGTGAAATGTAGTAAGCATCAAAAGTAAAGTACCCATTATACAGAATGATATAGTACTGCTGTAACCTATTATTCTTTATCAATTATTCATTAATATTTTAGCATTTTAACATTGCAGCTGGTTGAGCGCTAAGAGCTAATGTTACCAATTTAAATACTGCTGTGCAGTTTGATTGAGAAAATTGTGCAATATATTATAAGCTGTCAGCAAAAGAAAGTAGCTGCAATATTTGACTCAGAGATCTAGGGGAGACGTATAAAGCAGCATAACTTTAAGATTTTTATTAATTTAATTTAATAACACTTTATTGTGTCATCCTAATTTCTGGACATTTCAGTTGCATTCTTTTTTCTCATAAAGTCAAATAAACCATTAAAACAAACAAATAAATATCAAGTTTGAACATTGTCCTAATGGTACTGTATGATATAGCTACCACTACCACGGCAGATTAAAGAACACAAAATACACAGAATACCTCCCCTGCTTGCTCTGCCTGCTGAGAGGTTGGTGGTCTCCCGCATGCGCGCGCTCCTCGTCAGTTGTCCAGGATACGCGAACGCGCACTTGCATGCTGCAGATGAAACTTGAAGAAGCTGTGGAGAGTTTGGAGGAAAAACTGGATCCCATCGGACAAACACTGACCTGAGGCCGGATCCCAACTCCTGAAACATGAAGACCATGAAGATGTTGGCGCTGCCTCTTCTCATCACTTTACTGCACAGTGAGTTTGTTTTCTGCTTTTAAAAACTTTATGGGGGAATTTAAACAAAACGTTATTAACGGAAGAAGAAGGTGTGTTCAGCTTTCTTACCATGAGAGACAAACTGCTTAATGTTTTCTGATGAATGAATGTATTTAGGCCAGTTTATGATGTGTACAGGCATCTTTATGTTGAGAAGGACCTTTTTACCTTCTGGTAGCCTTTATTTCAGTCTGTTGTGTGTTTTCACTGGTTACTTTTCCCACTATGGATTATATTGTCTCAGTTAATTTATTCTACTTGAAACATACTTTTTTAAGGTGTGGACAGAGAAAACAGAAAACTAACCTAAAGCCTATCAAAGCTATTAGTTAGGGACTGTACGAAAATGATTGGTGTGGGGAGGGTGGTTGAACCTTATGTTTTAGTTTTTTAAAAAGCAAGACCCTTCACTTTACTGTTAATATTTTATTTGAACCCTCCCCTCGGAAAACAACTACCTCACCCCCAGTATTTCAATAATTGGTGCAACTGAACTTACCAAAAAAGAATTTAAAGAGGCAATTTATAGATTGTGGTGTAGCATATTCTTAATAGTTAAGTGTAAAAGGTTATAGTAAGTTTCATTATTCTTTAATTGATCTATTTTTATGGAGATAAAATATAAATCTGGTTTGAAGAAAAATTAAAAGACCGCCCTGAGCTCTCCCCAAAAACGTCAGACTTCCCTTCCTTCAGTCTTCCTCCATAATATTTTCCATACAGTCCCTTAGAAATTCAGCATATTGATGTGATTTCTGAATAATTTACAAGTTAATTAAAGTGTTTTTATGAAAGAGATATTTTAGTTAAATATTGCATGATTCAAGTGGCTTGTTGCCGCACATTTGCTGAAATGTATGTTGTGTATTGGAGACAAATTGTTTACTGTGATAACTGTTTATGTTTTCAATATGAAGCGAACTGAGGGGGTTTGTTTTACTGATGATTAGCTTACGTGATTGAGCTTTTGCGTAACCCCACAATCAAGGGAGGAGGCGTGATGTATCCAATGACTGCATCAGGGGCTGAGATTGTGCAGGGAGTGGTCGCGGCTGGGCTTCATGTTTACACACTGAACCCGCTCTGATGCCGTTTGAACCCGAGATCCACAGACTGATCAGACACATCACATGGCCCGGCGGAGGAGTTTGCGATCCCACTGTTTCAGTTTGAAGATAGCCCCTGACTGACCCTGCTGTTAATTGGACAGAGATTAAAAGGACCACTTACTATCTGGAAAAATGCATTTGAAGTTGCTGTGGGAATTTTAAAGGGCAGAGGCTGCTCTCCAGAAAACATGCTTTATGTTAATAATTGCAGCTTTGACGTGTGTATGCGTTTTGATCTTTTTTGAATTTCCTCATGAGGACCTCACAGAGATGAAAAGATTGAAATCTTTATCTTCTGTTTGTACAAAGTTATTAAAGAGATCTGTTTGGAATATTTTTGGGCAACATTATATGGATGTTGTTTCAATTGCAACATCCTGTAACTAAAATATGCCCCCCCCCCAAAAAAAAAAACAAAAAGTTAATTACCTACAATCTGAAACACATACATTTGAATATGATTACAAATGTTATTTAAATGAATTTCATTTAAAACCTCAATGACAATGGATAACATAATACTGTATATCCACGAACACATGCATTTTGTGGTCACATGGGTGAAGATCATTTCATTGCAAGGATTCTGATTTAGTGTTAAATCAGACTTAAGTTTAAGTTGGCTGAAGGTCAAAGTAAAGCAAATACTGTGGACAGAGAACTTGGGGTTTAAGGTTCAACCACTGTAGATCCTCACAACTGTGTGTGCTGCTGATGTCTGTGCGTGTGTGTGTGTGTGTGTGTGTTGTGCCAGCTGAGAAGGGTAAGGTTACTGCCATAAAGAGGTGCTTTGTATAAATAAGAGAAGCACGCACGCACACACACACATACACACACACACACACACACACACACACACACAGTAACCGTCTGTGATATACATTAATAGTTCTCAAATATGATTCCCGGATTCTCCATCTACAATCTTCTTGTGAAATGTGTAGTCCTTCCAGTCACAGTTTGAATGAATGTGAGCTGCAGTGGATTCATGCCAAATGTAAGTTTTCACAATATAAAAAGCAGCATAATATTGATCGAAATTTCTCTAATCTGCAGCATAATCCACTTCTCTGCTTCTACTTCCTTGTTTGATCTTCCACGCTTTGTAGCTTATTAAGCCATCCTTCAGTTACACTTTCCTGCTGTGAAAATTTTATTTCCAGTCAAATCTTTTGCAACTAACATGACATCAGATTAGCCACAGTTTATGTTATGTCAGAAGGAAAACATTAACTTTTACAGCCACAGTTCAAGTGAGTATTTGGCACTAATTGTGTGCATGTGGGTGTGTGTGGGTGTGTGTGTGATTGTTTAAGGGACAGATCACTAAAAGAGGTTATCAGGTCAGGCTAAAGTAGCTTGTCGGAGAGTCATCCATCACCTGCATTCCTACACACCACCGCTCCTGGCACCACCAGGATGAGGCTACACACACTATATTTCTGTGTGTGTGTGTGTAATGGTTGGTATTACCATCTTTGTGAGGACTCATTTCAGTTTCAAATCATCATAATAAGGACATTTCTGTGTTTTGAGGATATTCTGGCTGGTCCTCACTTCAGAGAACTGTTTGAAGGTTCAGACTCGGTTTTAAGGCTCAGGTTAAAATTCAGTGTCGCTCAGGACTGGGGATCAGGGAATGCATTACATCAAGTGGGGTCCTCAGAAATGCAGACAGACCAACTTGTGTGTGTTTGCATCTACACAAAAAGCAGGCAGATTTGCACATAATATTCTGTTGTGGGAACTAAAAGTTCTTGTGCTGTTTGTCTACATGGTGAGGATGTGTGTGCATTTCAGTGTTGATCAATGACTGGTATGTGTAGGCAGTGACTCTTCTCTATTCTGTTTACATGTCTGGTTGTACTTCTGGTCTCTGATTGCGCTGGAGTCCAAGACGCCCTGGCAGGCCCTCAGCCTGACCTATAGATATATTGCAGAGAGATGTAATTCTGTTTCTCATCAAGAATGTGTCAAGAAAATGACTTTAAGGTTGTTGTACTTGGTGGTAAAACTGGTTAACGGTTTATAACTTTAACTGATCCTCATATCCCAACAGGCCCTGTCTGTCTGTCAGTTACCGTGAGCAGCAGTAAACCCAAAGTGGAGGTCCATGAGCACACAGGTGAGACTTTCTGTCCCACTATTTTTCACCTCAGAAATGTCTAATGTCATTTGTTGTTCTTGAACATCTGTCTTATCTTTAATGTCTTATTGATTCACCTTGATTGAATTTGTTTTCCGGTAAATTTTGTCATTTAATCCTAAATGAAAAAAAACAAACCACTGATTAAAAACATGTGGGTACATATGACTATGAAAGAAAAACAGTAACATCAGAGATAAGATCTTAGATCCGATATCTGTGTGTTTGTCATTCCAAAACAAATCGTCCAGATCAACAGTCAAAACAATGCAAAACATTTTAAGATTTTTAAACAGATTGACATACTTACACCTTAAATTACAGGGAAAACAGCTGATGTCTCATTTCATGCAAAAAGAAAATGTGGATAAATAAAAAAACAGCAATCACTGAACAGTAAATATGTACTTAAAACCTTAATGTTACTTAATGCTCACCAGGTTTCATAAACACACTTTAATGTAAAAAGTGTGTTTGCTGCTGTGTTTCCTGTCCTCTCAGACGCAGTGCTGGCCTGTGAGTTTAGGACAGAGAAAGATCAGAACCCTCGAATCGAGTGGAAGAAGCGAGGGAAGGGGGTGACATTTGTGTACTTTAATAACAAATTTACTGGTGAGTGACAGATTTTACTGCATATATTCCTCTGACTACCCTGAATTCAAAACGCTGCTTTTCTTGGCATCATCCTTTCATCCTTACAACTTTTAATTCATCCTTTTTTCTTTTTTTTTAGCACTCAGTTAAGCTTTGTCCACCATCTGTCATCTCTCCACCTCAGGTTCATATGCAGGCCGGGCCAGGATAGAAGGAGCGACGTTGACGATACACTCGGTTTCTCAGAAAGACTCGGGGGAGTACCGCTGTGAGGTGACTGCCAGCGAGGACCACGTCAGCCTGGGAGAGGCTATTGTAACCCTCAATGTGCTTGGTATGTGTTTGTGTGAACGTGTGAATATGCGTATACAGAATTGTGCAAAGGTTTTAGGCACTGAAAGTGAACTAAGCTGCAATGCGATCCTTGGATAGTACATAAAGCCCAGCAATAATGTACATACACAATGAAAACACACAAAACCCAACAAGAAAATCCATATATAAAACAGCAAAAGATACAACTTACAAATGATTATGCAATAACCGGATCATTCAGGACAACATCAGTGATCCCTCAATAAAATTCTTTCAGTTTGAGTTTAAAATGATCCCAGTCATGATCCGGTTTCTGTAGAGTTCAACATGTTGATCCTAACTTCTGTGATCACTGACAACAAAAAAAAGCATGTTGCCCTGTTGCCTTTTCAAACCAGGAAGTTGGTTTTGTGTTTAGTGTGTTCAGAGTCACACTATGAAATATGAAGGGTATAAATGATCCCAGTGACAGCTTGATTGGCTCAGTGGTGCTGGCTTTTAATCCAAAGGCTCCAGTTTCCTCTCACAGTTCGAAGACGGTGAGATGAATGAGGCAGATGAATGCATCAATGTGGCATCATAAATTGTGCTTTGATACAATGAATGAATCATTAGACCACTCCACATTCCCTAAACAACAAAATCCAACAACAAAAGTAATATTTAAGTTATTTAAGGTGGATTTGTCCTTTCAGAAAATGACAAATAAATATTCAAACGTACTGAAGATGTGCTCTCTGCTCCCTCAGTGCCTCCCCATGTCCCGTCCTGCGAGGTGCCGAGCTCTGTGTTTGTCGGCTTAGGCCTCGAGCTTCTCTGTAAGGACAAACTGAGCGTGCCTCCTGCCACCTACCGCTGGTACAAAGACAACAAGGCTCTGACGTCCACAGCAGACACTCCTTATAACATCGACACAAACAAGGGCACGCTGGTGAGTGACCACCACACAGTCACACTGCTGTTGCTGTCTACACGTCCCCTCTCACCTTTCTTTTGTCTGTCCTGAGCAGAAGTTTAAGAGTGTGTCCAAAATGGACGCGGGGATGTACCGCTGTGAGTCCTCCAACAGTGTGGGGGCGCCCAAGAGTTGTATGGCCCAACAACTGAAAGTTATGGAATGTAAGTGATTTTGGTAAAACTACTTGTTGGTGTTTACATGTCATGCACCAGAGACTGAAGAAAGAATCTCTTTCCCCCTCCTTCTAGATCCTTTGAATATGACCATTTTGATAGCAGGAGCTGTAGGATTTCTGATGCTCGTCCTCTTCTGCTGCATCTGTGTGTGTGTCTGCCGACGCCAGGGCTGCTGTAAGAGTGAGTAGTGTACTGCTGTTGAATTTGTGTGTGTGTGTGTGTGTGTGTGTGTGTGTGTGTGTGTGTGTGTGTGTGTGTGTGTGTGTGTGTGTGTGTGTGTGTGTGTGTGTTTGTGTGTGTGTGTGTGTGTGTGTGTGTGTGTGTGTGTGAGAGAGAGAGACTTTCATTAGACTACTTTCATATTCAATATGTTACTGAAATAAAATGAACAGAAGTAAAACTATCTGTAATAACTGAAGTGCAGTAAGAAGTGCAATATTTCCTTCTGAAAAGCGATGGACTAGAAGTTGAAAGAAGGAAATACTGAAGTAAAGTACAAGTATCTGACACAATGCGGGTTACTTAAGTAAGTGACTGCCTACACGTAATGAGGGAAATGTCCAACCACAGATATGACTGTACTAATTCTGCTGTTTTCACTGACCTTTCCTCTTTGTTGTGTCTTTGAACAGAGGGAAAGAAAACAAAGAGGTGAGCGTCTCACTCTTCACTCAGACTCTTGTTTGGCCTGTAGCTGTGTGTTATTGACTGATAATGAACTCAGACTGAACTGCCACCCTTTGTCTTTCAGTACCAAGTCCTACAACCCTCCTCCTCCTCCTCCTCCTCCTCCTTCCACCCGCAATGTGAGTGATCAAAGGGATTGTTTTCGTGTCAGGGCTTGTTTTGCTTGCTGTCGTGAATTTGGCTTGCCATTAAATGCTGTTGATAAATTGCTGATAACACTGGTCCCTAGCGACTTAAAGGAAATGGCTTATTGTATGTCTCTCTACAGCTCAAGCACTACAAACAAACTCAGTCCTTCATGATCTGAGAGGGAAACAGTCTGACTTCAAACCATCCAAACTCTGAAGTAAACACTTACTGTTCAGCACAGTGGAAACGTACTCCACCGTCACCTTGCTTTTGGATGTCTGGTCATTGCTGCACTGGACGGACTCACATACAGACATTATGTTCAGATATCGAGCAAAACCAAAGAGTTAATCAAGATTTTTGCAAAAAAACTTGCTGCTTCCTAAACACTGACATTTGTTTGTTGGCTGTTTGGAAAAAGGTTCTTTATGTCCATATCTACCACACACTTCCAAAACTGTAAATGCAAGATTCAGCTAAACTTTTTCAAGCGCTGTGTAATATGTTAATATCATTCACTATCTTCTTAAGTTTAAGATATGTCTCTCTTATGCCACCTATAGGCAAGTTGCTGTAACTATCCACACTGGTAATGCTAAAATCCTGTATATAGATTGTGTCACAAATGGCTGTATCCTTCTTATTGCCTTCAGTTAATATTTACATATAGAGATGTTGTTTTGTATGAGGTTGTCATTTTGATATATTTTTATAAAGCTGTTTGTGTGTTGATCTCATGTTATAATTGTATACATTTATATGATGTGAATTGAGTGACAAATGAACAGGTGTCTGCACACACTGAATGGTGCTTTGGAAGCTTTTTAAAGCTTTGACACGCAAATATTTGCTGAGTATTTCATGATCAATAAAGAAAGAAAAAAAAAATCAGCACGTCTAAATCAAAGCTGCATAGTTTATTGGTTTTAGTACACTAGTGGACGTATTCGGCTCCTTCAAGAAAGGTAGAAATACCAGAGTGGAAAAAGTTCTATTACAAGTAACAGTCCTGCATTCAAAATGTCATTTAAAGGAGATATTTGTAAGTTTTGCTGTTGCTACATTGGCAGCGTTAGCATACACAGCTGTTTATTTACAGAAGAAACGTTGCGAGTTCAGCATCAAACTTCCTTCCTTTACTCACCAACAGCTGTCTGCAGTGGTGGAAAGCAATGCCAGTGTTAACTCTTGTCTTTATCACATCTTTTCCTCTACTGAAGTTAGCACGCTAACCAGCAATGTCCGGCCTGCTCACTGTAGCCCCCAACCTGCCCTGAAGACATGTTTATTTCAGCTGTAAAGTTGGGCACTTTAACGTGGGAGTGTATGGAGATTGACTCCCTTTTGGAGCCAGCCTCAAGCAGCCATTCGAAGAAGTGCCGTTTGTGGTAGTTTCGTGTTGGCATCATTTTTCAGCCTTGGAGGTTGCGGCTTGATTATAACCTCTTGTCTTGTAAACACATTGATGGCCAAAGCTCTTGTCAAGCGACAATCACTTTCACCCACTCGCACCTGCTCACCGGCAAGAAATCACATTTGGTGGCAGAGAAAACTTGAGAAAATGGCCTCTTTAAGTAAAGGAACAAAAGTATCATTAGCAAAATGTACTGAAAGTAGGCCTATCAAAAGTATTCATTATGCAAAAAACATCACTCCATTCAGAGTGTGATATTATTAAAAATACATTCGTTCATTAGCAAATGGTAGCATGTTAATATGTGAACACTGAAAACATTCTTGTTAAACATTAGCATCTTAGCATTGACACCGTGAGCCGGAGATGTATTGATGAGGTGGTGCATACATACACATACTGTATATAAAAGCACATATAATATATACATATTGCTCAGTAAAACCATGTTGTCATCATGTTAGCATGACCTCAGTGCCTGTAAGTGCAGCCTCACAGAAGCATTACTCATTGAATTCTTATTATAATTGGCTTAACTCTTATACTCTTATACTTCAAATGCTCTGCCTCTTTTTCCTCCATGTTAGAAAAGAGCAAATAGTTGCTATGTGCCAAAAAACATAGTTTTTTTTATAGAGAATGTACAGTACAAACAAGGTAATAAATGTGTTGCTTATTACTACACACAGTGGAACAATACTGACAGATTTACTGTCTTTGCAGCTGTGGTGGAGGTGCCATGGGTTTGTGATTACAGGTCTTGGAGAGGCGCTTTTATTAGGTGATGATATCATCACTAACTACTAACTACTACTAACGTTGATCTGTCTCTTTCTTTTTCTCTGGGTGTATGAGGAAGACCTGTTTGCCAACAAATAAGGAAACTTGAATTCCATTGTTTAAAATATGTATTTATCTTTTCTTTTGTGTTCATTCTTTTGATTAAGCAGTTTTTTTTTGGATGTGCTCACGGTCAGATTCCATTGAGCGAAATCCATTGATCTTTTGGCCACTAGATGGCATCACAGCACTTGGTGAATGTGTACATTCCAGCACAGACTATAGGCCTACAGCTACAGGATGCCAGCCTTTATCCATTATTTGTCAATGGACAGTAGCACTATTGTTCTCCTCCCTTTGTACTCGTCGTTCTACTTATTGTTGTGCCCATAAATTAAAGGTCATGAAAAGCACTGATTTCCGGCAGCTTCACTTCCATGAGTTTTTAAAGGACATTCATTGTCAGTGTCGGTTTTCATGATTTAAAGATTTGACTTGTGTTAAAAACTGCACATTTTGTATATGTTTGCATCTGGCCTCTGCATAAGCTAAGCGCTACAATGCAGACAGATTCAGGAACCAGTGACAGAAATCTATTCTTGCACATGGTCATAACCTTCTCTGACGTTCACATTGAGTGGATCCTATTGATCTGCTTATATGGCTGCTCATGAGAGCTCAGACCTCCCCGATCAGGACAGGACATCAGCTGAGCTCTACAACATGCAGATGTTGTGTGTAAAAACTGTAATGGGAACTGCATTGTACCAGGGTATGATAATTCTCACTATACAACTAGATAACACTGCAAAGTGGCAAACATAGTGTCACCATGTGGAGTCCCTCTAGAAACAGTTTGACTCCCTCAATAGATTGTAAAACACATTTAATATTTTTTTATTTTGATATAGATCCTAGATGAGGAGAAGCTTGAGTTGATAATAATAATAATTATATGTCTAAAAGTATTGCAATGTTATGATGATACTAAAATTGGGCATTTTGTTCTGTACTCTCATGAACCTGTTATAATTGAAAGTATTATTTGCTGTGGTTGTTTTGTATTTTTGTATTGTGGTAGCTATAACATTAACATGCAGTATAACTGCTGAACATTGTGGGTATTATTTGTGTTGTATTCAGCAATGGAAGAAGTATTCAGAACCTCTACTTACAGTAACATACTATAAAGTAAAAATACTCTTGTACAAATAAAAGTCCCACATTCATAAATTAATAAAACTAGACAAGTCTAATCAGCAAATCAGCAAAATTAACAAGCTGCTCTTGTTAAAACAAGAGCAGCTTGTTGAAGTGGACCTAGTTCAGACTCTTTCATAAAGGGCAAACCCTTTGTACACCCACACAGATATTATTTTGCTTGATTAGACCTTTATCTTCAGGACTGTGTGGGTGTGTACTAACTGGGTTTGACTGACATTTCCATTTCTGTCCCTCTTCTCTTAGTTTGTTTCAGAACAAGTTTCAACTTTTATCACCTCCAGCTTGGTCATCTCCAGCAGAGCTTTGCACGACTCCAACCTGAGTAGGTAGAATCAGCCAGAACAACAGCAAACATGCATGTGGGTATGCATTACCTAAAAACTGTACTGAAGTAACATACTTTTTTTTTTTAATTTGTAAATGTACTTTCCAACACAAATTTTGTTTTGGGAAACTACATAGACTTCCCAGCCCTAACCACTATTTGCCTAACTCAACTCTGCCTATCACACACACACACACACACACACACACACACACACATCCTGTAACATCCAGATCTGGTGGCTGGCTAATGACACTGGCTCAACTGCCCGGTATGGCCATTTTTTGTGGTTCCCTTTGAACATCTTAACAGGCCTTCTTTATGGATGCCTGCCGTGGATTACAGCTCCAGGGGGCTGTTATATCACATTTTGTAAATGCGTGTGTATCTGTCAGATAGCGACAGAGGAAAGAGAGTGTGAAAATAAGTGAGAGAGGGAAAGAGAGAGAGGGAGCAGTTGAGCGTGAGTGGGCGGTGGCTGTCAAATGAAATTAGATTAAGCCTCAAGCCAGGTTTCCTCCAAGACGTCTCCTTCCTGTGCTGTTTGGCAGTGGAGCCTCACCCTCAGTGCACTCTGTGAGTTGAGCTCCCCTGAAAACCTCTAGGAGCATCTATGAGCAGGTGGCACAATGCTCACAACACATGGCGCTCCACCCGCAGGGATTAAGTCGCTTTTTTCATTTTTAACAACAATTTTTCTGCTAAAAGAAAAAATCTGTTTCTGCCAGTTTTGTTTGTGAGTTTGGTTTCTTTGTTTCTGGTGTTATTCCTGTATCCCCCTCTGCCTCCCAGTTTGTTGCACTTCTGCAGCTCCCATAGACCTGCGCATTAGCAGCTCGTGGGTTATGCAAAACTTACATCATACAGACATCGATGTATTTATGCCTCAGGGAAATTGTTGTGGCAAAGGGAGCAGGAAGAAGACCACTGACACAGGGATTACCACAGGAAACTCTCTCTTCCCGCTTTAGCAGTAAGAAATAGCAACTTTTAAACATTTAAACCCCACCAGACGACATCCCCTACAGTTTCATTAAATCTTTATACTGTGGTTCTCTTACAATACTGAGAGTCCTGCTGTGTGTGTGTGTGTGTGTGTGTGTGTGTGTGTGTGTGTGTGTGTGTGTGTGTGTGTGTGTGTGTGTGTGTGTGTGTGTGTGTGTGTGTGTGTGTGTGTGTGTGTGAAGCCCAGAGTGGGAGCAGAAAGAAAGTTTGCTATTTGTACTCTCTGTTTTCTGTCTTCAGTATGAACTGTGCTCTCATTTAGCATCGTTCACCGACAAGGCTGTTAGGTGTAATTAGAACAGAAATGGAGGATGGAAACACACACACGCACACACACACACACGCACACACATGTGCGCGCACACACACACACACAGGGCGCCCTGTCCTCCTGCACAAGCAATCAGTCAGGACTGACTCCCACAGCACC